CTGGCTCTATTGAGAGATTTAATCAGTTTACAGGTGAAGACATAGGGACACACACAGACATATGAAGATATATGAACACATCAGAAATCACACAGCCTTAGATGTCATGATTCATAAGTGTTCATGTCTATTGAAATCACTAGATGTTCATATGAATCCATATACACACACATAGAACATGTGAAGACATGTGAGCACGTATGAAAACACACAACCCTAGATGCCTTGGTTCATATGTGTTCATGTACATACAATAGTGTTGGCTCCTGAATATATAGAAGATGTTCATACGGTTCACATGTTGTTCATACGGTTCACATGTTGTTCATATAGTTCTTACATTAACAAAAAGAATGAGATTTTTTGATTTTGTAACTCCCAATTAGAGATGGCCAAATCGGCCCGGCCCGGCCTGGGACCGCCGGAGGACCGGGACCAGTAAGGACCGGTTATGGGACCGAAAACCGGGACCGGTTGAGGTTTTTGGTAGTTCCATGGGAATGGGACCGAATATGGACCGGCCCGGCCCGAAAATTCAAATAATTTTATAAATAAATGTATTTTTAAATAATTTTATAATGTATTTTTATAAGAAAACGTAATTTTAATTATATTAAAACGTATATTTAAAGTGTATTTAAGTGATCCAATTGTAAATTTTATAATGTATTAAAAATATATATCATTAAAAAATCAAAAAAAAAAATCTTATTTTTTAATGCAAGGACCGGTTGGGACCGGAACCGGGACCAACGGCCCATAACCGGTTTTGAAGTACCTTGACCGGTCTTATCATTTTCGACCGGGACTAAGACCGGGACCGGGACCGGTTACGCCGGGACCAGTTATGGCCGGTTATGAGAAATGTTAGGACGGATTGGGACCGGCCGGGCCTGGCCCGAGACCGGTTTTTGGCCATTTCTACTCTCAATTAATGATATGGGAGTTACATAAAAAAATTACCTAAATACCCTTTTCCTCTTTGTCCACATATGTTTTTTGAAATTGTAAATTTAAAAAATTAATTTTTTATCATGATTAATCATACCATTTATTGTAAGAATCAATGGTCAAGATTAATTAACAAAGTTAACACAATAATCTTGGTTAATATTTAAACCAGCCCCTATATATATATATATATATATATATATATATATATATAAGGTTGGAATCACGTGAGACCAACGGTTTTTCATGAGACCCGTAAGACCAATTCTTAACATTTAGATTAGATTTACAATCTGACAATCTGAACATTCATAAACGTCACGAGACTTCTCAATAATCACAAAATTGCTACCGTACAACTTTAGAACATTAGATCATTAGATTATAAAGTTGTACAAATTAGTAACTTAAAAGTCATAAAAGATTGAAATAATGTTCAAAATATAATTTTTATAAAGTTTAGGGTCTCTTTCGTACTTTCAAAAAGTCAAAATTCGACAACGGAAAGCCATTGTTTTTGGCCCGTACAACTCAATTATAATTCTGAGAGTCGAATAATTACAAAATTGACCAAAATTGAGACTTTGGAGACTTGTAGCAAAAATTTGCAATATTTAGAAACTTATAAGTGTTGAAATACTCACCCACATTCTACTTTTAATTCTTTAGTGGTTTATTTGAGAAATTTTCTAAGTAATTGAATCTTTTTTATTTCCGTACTTCAAATAAGTTCACCTTGCAACATCCTTTTTGACTTCACATTTTTATTTTTGTCATAAAATAAAAATATACTTTTTTTATTAACCTGGATATTCAACCCGTTATATGAGCCGACTAATCCCAGGGTGACCACCTGCTTTGCAGATAGCCCGGAGTCACCGTATTTGAACTTCCATGACCACAAGGGTATTTGTATTCCTCATTGGATTTGAAACTGGTACCTCCTGGTACTTTTGACCTTTTGAGTCAAGGTCAAATCAACCAGGCACCACCCTTGTGGTTAAAATATATTTGTATATGCTTCAAAAACAATATGTTTAACCACTTGAAGAATGCAGTGGAAATCTCATTTTGTTTTGGATTTAAATCCAATCGAGACCAAAACCCTTATAGCCATAAAGGTTTGATGTGATAACTCTAGGTCATTTGTGGTCGTCAAAGAGATTGGTTGGTACATGCAAATTGATCTGAATGCCAACAGTTAGAAAAAGATATATTTGTATATGTATTTCATTAGCATGTTACACAAATAGATGTTGAAGAAGAAAGCATTCTTCATGTTATCACATGAGGATATGTCATGGTCTATTCACATGTGAGATAGTATTCACATGAAGTAAAGTTATCTGAAAGTGTGTCTGTATTATACTATATAACATGTGAATAATATATATCAATCAGGATTATATGTAAGAAATCTTTATTTCTATGAGAAAGTGAAAACAAATGAACATACATTTATCTTGTCTGCATTACGACATATTACGTGAATGCTGTAACTTTCACATCATCTTTAACTGTGTATTATAAGGTTACAGTATACTATATGAATGGTTTGACTTACAAACAGAGAGAGAGAGAGAGAGAGAGAGAGAGAGAGAGAGAGAGAGAGAGAGAGATTTTAAATTTCCATACTTTCCAATTTTACAAGAAATATGGTTGCTAAAATTAGGGATTCTTCTTCACATGAACCTATCAATCAATTGCTTTATAGACCATTTCTTCTTCTTTTATACATATTAAAATAAATGAAACATTATCAAGTTCATATCTATTAATTCATATGTGAATTTTTTTTATTAAATTGTATATTTATGGGTTTTTTTAATACCTAAAATTACTAACATAAATTATTGAGATGAATAATATTTCTTTAAACCATTCATTTTTTCGTCTTTAAATTGACTCCATCTATTGTTTACATAGATTTGAAATTAAACGAAGATATAAGTTACAATATATGAGATTCAGTATTAATTTTACACGTATTTTTCTTTATTTACTGTTTTTTTTTTTACGTTAATAAAACATACCAACATCGAATACTAACGACAAATAGAAGATTATAAGATGATGCAAGGGATTTTCTTACCTAGCATCCCCATCATTTCACGTACCATCATCCTTCGTATTCTTTGTCATCGAATCCTTTTACTAACTTCGAGTTGATTTAAAGCATCTCGAATTAATAACAGTTTGGTTTTACTTAATGGTGCTATCATCGTGATTCGGCTTATCCTACCATCGTTTTCAAAAAGGTGAGACAATTTAAGTTGCAACTGGTTTCTTAGCGTAAGATCGTTAAAAAGCTGACACAATTAGAGTTTTAACTGATTTCGTAATGTACAAAATGCTCAATCGTCGACCTGAAGTTTTTGTTTTCAATCGAATTCAGCTCTATATTTGTGCCACCCAAACGTCTATGCACACAACTTCAATAATTATTATGTTTTATTTTATATTAACATAATTATTTTGTGTAATCATTGACATAAATTTTTGAATATGCAAACTGATTAATGTCTCGTCATGAAAATATGGAGAGTTCATTTATTTATTGATGTTGCTATACACACCCACATACACACCTATTTATATTAAAATCAGTTCAAATCATTAATCATACACTAGAATGCAAAAAATAAGTTTTGATGTTGATGTGTATGAAATGAAAATTAGCAGGTCGGTGTGCATTTATTCCATCTCACCCTTATTTATAGGGTTATGGGAACACCTCCAACAGCTATATTAAAATAGAAATTTAGGAGACAAAAGACAACAGCTATGTTAAAACGTATGCTAAAATAGATAAAATAAGAGATAAGATGAAAATATCCAAATTTGGAGAAATTCCTAAAACTGAATATATAGAAGAGATAAATAATAGTTTAATATTTTTCCACCAGTAAAATATATGCAAATTAAGAATAATTGTTGGAGTTGAATGTATTTTTAATACAAATTTTCTTCTCACATACATCAATATTAAATATTAACTAGAAGAGTACTCGCGCAATGCAGCGAGACACATCTCGATTTTAATGTTCTATTTTATTATTTATCTCTGTCGATGTTATAATACGATTTTATGTGTTTTTAATAAAAAACAATAATGATTTTATTTTTGAATAAAATATAAATTTGAAGATATCATAAAAATATGAAAAAAGTTATATCAATGTTAATATCAAATCAACTATTTAAAAATTCTATTTGTTTTAACGTAATTTCTTTAAT